CTTTCATTCTTCATGGTGTTTGATAATCCCCTGTTAGGTTTGCGGCTGAAGAGCCATCAATAAGCCACGTTCCCAACTCACGCTGGGGAAATCGAATTCTTTGGATACACTCAAGGTGCTATTCAGTGAAAAAATAATTGCAGTGAAATACAAAAGCCATTCTCCTTTCCGTGTTGAGAGTGACGAACAATGTTGACAGCGGTCTTTATAACCACACGAGAGCCCAGGGAGACTGCACGTCTTTTAAAGTGAAGCTACCTCTCCTCACTCTCATCTCACTCTACTCCCCATTCACAAACTATTGGACCTCTCCCCTGACATCGCACTCTATTCCCCTCCATGCAGTCCCCTACCTCTGCCCTCTCATCTCATGGCTGGTGAAGGCGGGGTTAATAGATGTAGGCACATTGAAGTGGAGTATAACTATAGATTAAGCTGCACTGCGCTCTGCTGCCAACAATGTATAGCATATAATACCAGTTGTGCATCGTGGTTGCCCACAAAAGCACTATACAGACTCAAACCCGCTTAGCTGCAGAGTTCTGACACGGTCAGGCGTATTCCTACTCGACAAAGAATGACCGAATCACACAGCCATACGTGAAAATGTTTACTTCAAATGGTGAGCTCGTACCTGGCAAGCCACGCTATTCTCTTCAAGGAGTGGCCTGCCCTCTTGTTCCTAAATTGCAATGGTGGCGAAGCTTGTCGCCATCCTGCTGAGCTGCACGATTGTCCAGAGTTGAGCATTCATTCGCAAGAGATGTGCAACCCAATGACAAGGAAATCCTAAAAAGAATAGGCATAGACAACCGGTCAAGTACAGGAAATGGAAATATTCCAGACACGTGACCAGGATGAATGGTGGCCGGCTGCAATGGACAGTGATGGAGGGAACAACTGGAAGGTGCTAGGGGAAGAGGAACATCTCGATCTAACTGGACGTCAAACGTATGTATGTTGAACTTCTTTCGCACCGTACGTAGCCAACCGTGCTAACCAGAGGCAACATCGAACACTCGACGGGATGGAGACCGTCTCGGTTGATAGATGCAGCCGCGGACAAGAGAGTCATGGATTTAGCCCTGCAAGGAGATATCGGCGAAGGAAACTGTCAGGCCCCAATAGCCCCAAACGCCATGGGGACTAGACGATCAAGACTGACAATCCAAACCATTCCCTAAAGGGGATAATGGCCTGCTCTGTTGTTGCTGAAATGCGCGCAACCGCCAGCGATTGTGGAGATGCTTGCGAGCCTGGCCTTCCGCATGTTTTGCCGTTTGCGTGCGTCCTTGCGCGATAGATGTTGTGGCACATTGTTTTGTGGTTCCTTCTGTTTCAAATCGCCCCCTTAATTGACACCGTGATGCACGGGCGCACGCTGCAGCCGCTCCCTTGATCAATAACAACGGGGGAGAGGGAGCGTTGCCTCCTTTGCATGCTGCCCTCGGCTGCGACGGTGTGTATCGTAATTTATCACTGCAAGCGGAACGTCTCGTAAATAGCGGGACAGGTGTGCCTGTAATTGTCTTTTTTTCCTGTCCAACCCCCACTCGGATGTTGTAGCTATAGCAGCGGTTAGCATCGCACCATCAAATCGAGTGATACTAAACGTACATACCATTTGAACACCAAATGCTATTTGTTCGTATTTTAAACATAGAGAGGTTGTCGGCGCACTTGCCCAAAGCAAGGTCATGTGTACGGAACATCAATCTGTTCTGAACCTTTGGGGGATTTTTTGTCTAAAGAACCGTAGGCAGATGGAAAGCGTGCCGGGCAAAGTGCCGTGATATTCAGCATTTGCAGCCCTTGTTTTCCTTGAGTTTTTTGGAGGATTTTTGGTTTTGGATAATTGAACCTCATGGCGGGACCCTGGCGTCCCTAATAAACGGAAGTCAAAATCGTAATTAATTCATTTTTAGCGACTCCGTCCCACCGCGCACATAAACGCTGCGACACGCCTGGCGCAGATCATTCTGTTGTCGTGTCGTCCAAGTGCAGCGAGGACGAATGCGCAGAAGAGCTGAACAAGCGAATGCACTCTATGCTCGGGTATGGGCAGGATCATAAGTCTTATCCAAAGCTGCTCAAACTGCCGACACGACTTGAGTCCTTTATTTGTCATAACGGTATGCGTAATACAGTGACCTGCCGATGGACTAACTGCGGTGTACTCATTTGCACTCCGGAGTGGACAGAGGCAGGGAAGATTTAAGAAACTGGCATGATTGTTTCATCTTCCACACCGGGAAATGAAACCGGCGACATCTGAATTGTGTGCTATCCGTTAGACCGCGGCAGCTTCCCGATGGATATGTAGCACAATAAAACTCCCCCGTGGATGAAAGGTTTGCGTATACATTGTGCCACGCTGCCTTTAAAGGTCATTGCTGTCTTTATGGCTACGTCACGAGTTTTCTGTAGATAGTCGACGGATGGTTTGTTGTGTTTTGCACATGTTCTTATTGTTGGATCAAGTGGGGTTTTTTGTGGTGGAACGGAAAGCAGTCGATTTTATCGTCTTCTTGGTAGGACTGGGACATCAAGGCCAGTCTGATCTTTTTTCATTCAACTTAAAAGCCTGAATTTAAGCCAAGTATATTTATTTCGGGGTCAAACGGTGGTAAACACACCATGCGAGGAACACAAAGACCAGAGTTAAGTTCCTGGCGAGGGCTAACATCGGTTGCGAGTGATATCCAAAATGGTCCTGGGCCAGTTCTTGTACACACTCGCTCCTGACTTCACCATCCCATGATGCATGGGCTGTCGGTGAGGGGGGGGTAGGGGTGGGTGGGGTTTGGGGGGGGGCTGAGCGTCATCGGATAGTGGCTTGACAAAGGCCTGTCAACATGACCATGACAGTCACGACATTGGCGGTCATGAAGCTACTATCTGCATGGTGTAATTCGCTTAGCGCTTTCACATGCACTGTAATGTCGCTGTGCCACGCGGTGAGATATTGATGAGCCCACTGATTGTGCTGTCGGTACATTGCAGCTCATGCCTTCCATTGAGTTTGTTTGGTCGTTGGTGCAGCATTACACCCGTTTTGTCCCGATCCCATTCTGCCTGCCTGTGCTGATATTTCGTTCGCATGAGTTTGCCTCTGCCATGTTGCTCGTGCTCCTCTGTGCTGTAAAGCACCCATGTACGTGTGCGCCATGCAAAGCGGAATGCTTAATTCTGGAAGCGACGCTTGAGTGCTGCCATCCAGTGGATAGGGTGGATGTAAACTTATTCGGTATTTTTTTTGCTCTGTATTGGTGGGGTTTGATTTATAATGTGCAGTACGGCGTCGCATATCGGAACTCGCGACATTTCCGCCCGAGTCAATTAACCGCTCTTCCCCAGAGCAGTATTTTTGCGTAATTTTCTGTAAATGTTCACATTAGTAGACCTGTTCACACCTGCGTAATATGTTCCTAACCTCATGTACAACCACTTCGCTTCTGTAGCACCCGTCAATCATTTCCCCCCATGTTTAAAGCAGCTTGCTCCTTTTATCCATTAACCTATTCGTGGGTGGCATAAACTTCCAGTTTTTATAAATGTTCACATATGCGACCTTTTCACATATCCGCCTCTGTCCCATGGCGAGTTGGATGTGCGACGTTATGCCGTAGTAATAATAATAATATCCCGAGAGGCGAGGGGGGGAGGGGTGGCCACCAGCCCGTACACTGCGGTCCTGTCACATGCCATCACAAGTCTGCGCCTTGCAGCGGCGTCAAATTGACAGCGTGCTTACGAGCACACAGCACTCGTCTCTTGAGGGAAGAGATTTTCAAACTGGGGTTTGTGCGCCCCTGGGAGATGGGACCTCTTGTGATGGGTGGAGTTGGTTTTCCCGGGCCCCTCCAGGGATGGCCCAACGGTCAGATATTTTTATCGTGGAAAAAAATATATATTTCGTTGCCTTTCTGTTGTTTGTTCAGATTTTATTTGAGAACAGAGTGCGCTTTGCTGCCAAGAGACAAATTCAGGATAACAGAGGATGTGTTTATTTTTGGAGAGTAATTTAATTTGCGATATATTTTTATATATATAGGATGAAAACCAATTTTTTTTGTCACGGTGTCCTGGAGCGATCAACGTGTGTGGTAGAGATCGCTCAAAAATTGGTGGAATGGGTGCTCCGGTGTGTAACGTTAAAGACCAGGCATGTAACGATGCATCGTTTCATTGACGATTAAAATAAATAGATTCACATGCTTGCAATACACACGTCGCAATGTGTGTGTAAGCATCAATTTAGATTAATATATACGTGCATCATCTTGAATATAGATGTGTCTCAGTGTAGCCCACTCACAGTTTATTGTGAGCTCCGCAACCTTGGTTGCACCCGCAGAACGTTTCAGCAGACAGGCTTTGCGAGAAGTCCCTGATGCAAATGCCAAAAGGGAGTTCGCATCAGGGGCCCTCCTGTCAAAGCTGTCCATCACAATGTTCTGCGAGTACATCCATGTTGACTTAAAGCTTTCGTGACTGCAGGAATCCATACAAGCGTCCGTCATCCTCACCTGATGACGGACGCTTGTGTTGCGACCGAAACGTCGTGTTTCTTTTATTATTTTTTCTATCTACGTGACATTACCGAAACAACCAGAGAGTATGAGTACATCCATGGTTTGCGATATAATCACAGGAAGGGGTGAGTGGGCTGCACCAGCACATGAGACCCACACAATATGGCCATGTCATAACCCAACCGCCGAACCAACTTATTTCATCAGTATATGTTGTAATGACCGTTGCAGCCACTCCAAACGAGCCAGTGATGTATGCCCCCATACGTGCTTGTTTTGGAAGCAGATGTTCCATGTCTTTATGGAAAAACTGAAACGACCTAGATTTCACTCAGATTTTGTTGTTGATAAAGATCAGCGTACGTGGGAATGGGCTTGCTTACATATTGGGACGAATGAATATGCCCCTTGGAATCTCGTGCGAGCGGTTCATGATCGAGTGGTCCCTTGTGATATGCCTCGCAGGCGCAGACCGTGGAGTGGCATCCTTTTGAAGCACAGACGCTCATCTCTGGCTCCTACGACAAGTGAGTGAATCAAGCGGGAAGTTTGAATCCGAGTTTTCAACCACTTGGCGTACTAAACCCAGTTCTCAAGAGTAACGCGTTCATGGCCTCAGCCCAGTCGCCAATGACTGCATGCACAAAAACATCGCATCACGCTTTTTTTCAGCTATCTTGGCTACAATGTTGGATTGACATCCCTGCGACTGATGTTTCTTCATTTAGAAAAGGCGTGTGGGAACTCGTGGATTAGAGACCATACAGGAGACATCGTATTGATTCTCAAGGAAAATAAGTGGGTTGGGTAGAACAAATCGCTTTCGTTTGAAGGCATATGGTGGGTGACGGACGATGTCGTTGACAACTACAAGTCCAGCATGAAAATTAAATGATTAAATTGGTTCATGTGCAGTAGCGAGTTGGATTGTGGCATCAATGGCATCGGTGTTTGGATGCCTTTGTTCAGGATTGGTTAGCCCAGGGGTCGGCAACCTACGGCTCCGGAGCCGCATGCGGCTCTTTACGGGCTGCTTCTTGACGATGAGTACGTATGTACAGTATGTACTCAGATGCATTGCGGCTCTTGAAATACTGAATTTTGTACCGAATTGGAAAGAAATGGCTCTTCTTGTTATTTTGGTTGCCGACCCCTGGGTTAGACAATGGCTGATAATAGTGGGTGATGATTAATGGGCATCCCTTTTAAAGTGGAAGGCGGTCATCATCCTGTCATTGGAAGCCGTGCTGAGTGCGATGGCGGTGACGGCAACGTTTGTGTGGCTGTGCGCAGGTCCGTGGTGCTGTACGATTGCCGCAGCCCGTCGGACAGCCACCGCATGTGGCGCTTCAGCGGGGAGGTGGAGAGGGTCACTTGGAACCACTTCTCCCCGTTCCACTTCCTGGTGAGAACATACGCCACCTTACGCTAAGACCGTGGGGGCCAGCGTGGGCCCACACTCGTACCGCTTTTCCACTGGCACATCCAAGCCATGCCAGTGTGGGGGCCTCACAGTACGGGTGGTCCTCCGCTGGCTGCTTGCAAAGCTGAGCCGCAACAAAACCGTGAAGTTCTGGCCTTTCAAGACATCTGAATCTGGCTCGGACCCAAGCAGGTCCAGGGACAATAATTTGAATCATCGCATGTGACGTTAGCCAGCATGGCTCGGGTTCTGCAGTGGAAAAACAATCTGGGGCGTCTTTAGCCGCGCCGGGCCGCCTCGGCACTGGTCCTGCGTGACTTGGTTGTCCAGTGGAAAAGAGGTACGAGACGTGACTCGAGCCTTGACTGGAACATTTTGTTTTGCCGCTCCCGCGCTTAATGGCAGTGACGAATGGCGCTGCTACAATAATGGCAGCGGCGATGACAACGATAGTGATGATGTGTGTGATGCAGGCCAGCACAGACGACGGCTTCGTGTACTGCCTGGACGCGCGATCGGACAAGCCCAGTCTTCACCCTGCAGGCGCACGAGGAGGCAGTTACGGGTGATGAACACACGGACGTACGCGCATGCAGACACCGCCATGGCCACGGGCGTCTTGACGCGCACGCACGCGCCGTAATTTATCATTGCTGGCTATTATTGAGCTCTCTAGATTTCCCTAGGCGGGCAGTTACATCTAATGAGGACTTCACGTGCCTATATATTTGATGTTTGCTTTTAATTGTTTATTGTCTTGAGGTGGGTTTTTTGTGTAGAGCCAAGGTGGGAGAATGAGTCCTTGATTTTTTTATTATTGCTGCACCAATTAACTAATGGTTTACTTGCTCTGTGGAAGCCATTCTGAGGCATTCTCTGCTGTTATAAAAACAACAACACTCTGGGCAACATTCGTATTTTCCTTGGCGGTTCACTCCGAAATAAATATTCCCACTGTTTTTGTACAAGCGTCGTGAGATGCGGCCGCGCTTACACGCTAAATAAATACAAGTTGTAGTTTAATTGTATTTTTTTTACTTTTCTCAAAAGCCATTCTTTTCTCGTTGTGGTCTCACATTGCTATTTATTTATTTTTACCATAACGGGCACGGCGGAAGTAACGATACGAATTACAACGTTTGCCTTGGAACGCAGGCCTGGTGCTGAGCTCGCAGGTGAAGGGCTGCCTGGTGACCTCCTCTGCCGACAAGCACGTCAAGGTGTGGGACATCCTGGCCAACAAGCCCAGCCTGGTGCACTCCCGTGACATGAAAATGGTAACGGCCTGGCGTTGACGCGTGCAACGACCGTGCAAGATCTCGCGGGGTTTTTTGGTTTTCCAGATATGTGCCTCTTTTTCAGCAGCGACCTGGCCACAAATGATAGCTCAACGAAGTGGCTCATCACGTGGAAATGTATAGCAGCCAAATACTCTTAAGCGCATGTTTCTAAATGTGGAGGCTAAACTGGAGGACCCGGAGAAAAAAATACATGCGACTACGAGGACAGCATACGTACTACAAATATACAGCAGGTGTCAGGGTCGGGATCGAACCCACAACCTCCTGTATACCAGGCGAGGTAGTTAATTTCCACACTTGTCAACCCATACGGTTTACCTGTGTACCTGCCAATGGCTCACAGCAATAAACGTACAATTGTAGCCATAATTAGCACGCAGGCTTTCGCCACCGATATTATTCGCAATAACGTGTTTTTGGGTTAGTGTGTCCTAAACCCACCTCCACCCGATATAGGCAATCAGTAAGGTTTGTCACATGAGCAAAACGTGCCAATTAGTTACTACTTCAGCACACCGGATTGTTGGAGAGTAAACCTACAACATTTAGAATTTGATCACTGTGAAGTTTTGCTGGTGATTACAACCAGCTTCATTGTCTAAGTCGCATACCTGTCAACCCATATGGTTTACCTGTAGTCTTGTACTGGGACATTGAGTGTTCAGGTTCATACGGCGTACAGCCCTTTCAAATAGAGCATAACATTTTTTTTGTCTATTTGTTTGTATTTCTCCCTTGTGATGGGACTTTGTAGGATGAACGTTGAGATTTATAAGGTCACGAGGTGACCAATAAGGTCTGAATTGGTCTGTAATGAGGTAGGCACTGATAAGGGGTTGACAGGTATGACTGCCACGGTGCCCTTTTTTAACGAAGCGTCTGCACGTATCCACCAGGGCATCATCTACTGTGCCAGCTGCAGCCCCGACAGCCCCTTCACATTCGCGTTCGGAGGGCAGAAGGACGGCCTGCGTGTGTGGGACATCACGAACGTGAAATCAGGTGATTATCGGAGGATCATAACGCCCATGGATTTCTCTTTTTCTTATTTGCTCGAGTGTATGCGTGTCGAACTGGGCTTTCCGGTTATTTAATTTAATAGATTACTCTAGCGAGGTTCGGTTATATTGCTTTACTCGTACGATGAAACGAAAGTGGTTGGAGAGAAAAATACCGACCTCTGTTTTGGATGGGAGGTTATGGACGCGGCTTGATGACATCGTCAGCTGTGTCAGCTGGGTGTGGATTGTAGGGGGCAGAATGTGGGAGTGGCCTCTATTTTGAATAGACCTGATTAATTGACCACAGAAAGTTGATTTACGATAATTGGTCGATTGCCTTAATCGACTAATAGCCCCATCTCTCTCTGTGTGCGTAAGTGCTTCACAGAGAGGTGGCCAAGGAACTCAGAGCGCCAAGCTAGCATCGCTAAGTGTCCGGGCAGCTAACCCTTTGCTTCAAACGGGTTCTCAAGTGGACCAAGTCAATGGTTTTTTGGCTGGTCAACAATAACTGCACAATAAAGCCATCATATTAAATATGATTTTTGGGCTTAAATTTTGATTAATTTAATCACGTAGAATGAACAAAAATTCATCGGTTTGAGTGTCCTACGTCAGTCTAGTAGCAGAGGGTATGAGAAAGTGTAAACATATTTATTGCGTTTGACAATCGGAATGAATCGTGGTGGAATATTTTTTAAAAACGTTTTAACCTTAACAAAAATTACTTTCATTGTATTTATATGACACCAGTAAGTAGAACCCTTTGAAGACAGCAGTAGCCCCTAACATAAATAGCCATACTCTTTGATGAATAGGGCCACTAGACTACACAGGGATGGGACACAACTTCAAAACAAGCCTGTTTGCTTTGACATTTCAAACATCTCACAACCATTGTTGAGACTGCCTCTCATATGTACATCCGCATGATAAAGTCAAGGTTTGAATGTTCACGCCTCTGTAAGCATTCAAACCTGCACAATGTATTTCTAATTTTGCTGATCCCAATGTATATTATTATGTTTAAAACAACAATCATCATGCTCTTTAATTATCCAGGAAAACCCTCAGTAAATCTGAAGACTGTTTTATTTTTTCAACAGGAAAATTCGACCAGTTTTCATAACTGAATGTTTGGCTTGTGGTAGAAAACAGGAGTCTTTATTGCATTTATTTATTGCAAACCCAGTGTATACAAGTGAACTAGCGCGAAGCTCCACGCAGATATATTCAATCATCAAATGCTGCACTGCCACCTATAGCCACCTCGCAGGCCAAGCCTACTACTCCTGGCTATTCCCAAACGGCTTTGCATCCACGCTTGAGAAAGCAGGCTCAACTCAGCTTCGGTTCCTAGATCGGACGAGGTCGGCTGCATTCACAGTGACTTTGGCCGTAAGCTTGTGTTTATTTATGCTCTTGTGAGCTATGGTTGATTTATGAACTCGACGTTTCTATTTCCCCGCTTCAGTGCAAACGGCGTTCGGTTCCCGGGAGAGGCTGTTGGTGTCCCAGCCAGATGTGGATGCCTCTCCTTCAACATCCTCGGACTCTGCACCCATGGAGAGCTGAGGCTGGGACCCAAGGGACGAGCGGATTCTTATTCTGAGCGCGACAAGATTTATTGTTTGTGTTATTTTGTTTTGCCTTGCACCACCCCACGCTATGAATTTAAATCTCCTGAGTGGTGCTTGTGGACAAGTGCTCAGCGAGGCCCCCTCTGTGCACGGGTGTAGGAAAGAGCTGCAGTTTATCTTTGAAGTTTCAGACCGTTGAACATTGATAGAGCCAAAGTACTTTGAGGACCAACTGGGAGCTTTAATTTTACAGCCTCATATAAAAGTACAAAAAATATATATTCGTCTTTCCAGAGCCCTGCTGAATGTTGACTTTTAATTTGAAACATGTTTGAGATAGTTTACTGCTGAAATGAGCATGGGGGGAGCACCATCTCTCTACATTTCCATAAGACTGGTTGAAGTGTTTAAATTTGCACCTTTGTAATGCCCATTTTCCCGACCAATAGCCTTGCAGTCCCTACCCTTGAAAAAAAGAGCTTGTTAAAATTATTTAAATGTAATGTCCATGTTTTTCACATATGGAGCTATTCACAAGGAGATGCTCCTCATACAATAATTGAGGGGTGTCATGGAACGCGTATTAAACCACTCGAAAGCTGTTTTTTTTCTTTATTAAGAGTAGGTGCATTGAATGGCTCAAACGGCTATATGTGGGGATATTACAATAAAATAAACTATCAAAAAGGATTGTCGTGTATGTCCATGAAACTCGTTTTAGTTGTGTGAGTTACCAAAGCTTACCAGAACATCTCTAGTAGTAAATGGCACTGCTTTGCCCTGAGACAGTGACACATGCAGACTGCAATGCTCCCATTTATCCAGGAAAGACGCAGCGAGTCTCAAGCCTCTTGAAAGGGTCGTGAAACGGAGTGTTTGGTCAAGAGAGTTTTGGCTGAAGGTCACTAAAGCGTATTTAGGATTCTTAGCATCCACCCATTAATGATGCTCATAGAACCATAATAATATACCTTTACGACAGTTAAAGCCTGAGCCTCTAAATTTAGAGAGTGCCATAGCCACATAAGATCACCTAATATATCTACAACAATCCAAATTGTCTATATCGTGTCTATTTTCTGGTACCAACAATGAAACGGGTGTTTAAGAAAGATGGACCCAATTTCAAAGCAGTATATTTCACGATGGCAACATGTTACAATTACACAAAAAGTTTCAAACAGTTTACTTACTGTATTTTCCTGCATATAGCCCGGATACGCATATAACCCGCAGATGCATATAACCCGCAGATGCATATAACCCGCAAAAATAGCGTTTTGTGTAAAACAAATTTCAGATAGCCTGCACCTCCATATATCCCGCATGCATTCATATATTTAACGTCGTTACCGCAGCTTAATTCCATCATATTAATACGAAGTTTACATTTGTAATACATTCCACTATCAAGTGTTAACATTAAAATCATAACGTGCACAAAGAAAACAAACTAACCGGAAACGAGTGAACTTAAAACAGTAAGTAACAAAAGTACGGTAGTTATCAAGTTTTACTAGCCATTTTAAATGCTCGATGTGCCCTCCACCGGCTGTACGGACAACATCGATACGATAGTTGAATTCGTCCCAAACGCCTCTCAAAGTGTCTTCTTCCACTGAAGTCACCGCTGCCGTGATTCTGTTTTTGAGGTCATCCAGATTAGTCGCTAATGGTGGCACAAAACAACACGGTCTTTGACGTATCCCCACAAGAAAACGTCGCAAGGGTGATGATGTCTGGGGATCTTGGAGGCCAAGAGTGTAGCGCCAAGTCTTGGGGTCCCGTGCGACCTATCCAACGTTGAGACAGTGCGTCTTGCGAATGACTGAGGCTAGGGGCTGTTTGTGCGCTGGGAGAGACATCGAGCGGTAACCATTTGAAACTCTATGCCCCGCCCTCTCTATGCCCCGCCCTGTCAAGTGGTAAGAGTTTCATTCATGGGCGGTTCGTGGTTGCAGAGATATAGCGATTTCTTATCGGGTCCATCTTTTTTAAACACCCTGTATGTTGCACCATCCACAAACTACTTAAACCTGCACTGATCAGCGTGATAATTCATGATTGACCCCAAAAAACCTACACGGCCTGGGGAGACCACCCAGCAGCTGTATATGTACATATATACGTAAGAACTTCATTTGGCAGTCAGCTCTTGACGTCAATGAACCAGGAACCCATAATATTTGTGAGATCTGTTCAACCTTTTACCAAGGTCAAAACGCAAACTCGCCTTAACTGCATTTCACAGTCGTGCATGCTTATTATACCTCCTGAAGAGGGCAGCAGTGACTCGCAGGGTGGAATAAGCCAAATGTGACGGTCCCTTCTCGGTGCAGTGTAACTTTCACCAATTACTGTATTGGGTGAACTAGATCAGTGCTTCGCAACCTGCGTGCTTGCGGCATTTTTGAATTGATCAGCAGACACAAAGGCAATGAAGTATCGGAATCTGTATTTAGACAGGAGGAATCCGATGAGATATGAAGCTATTTTTCACAGATGTCCACCCAGTACGGGCGGGTCGCCAAGTTACAAGAACAATATAAAACAAACGATAGGAGTGAAAAATAAAATAACAGACACGTGCATCAATGTAAAACAAATAGACGAAGACATTGAAATGAACCGATTCAACAAAAGATGCGCGCACTGACACAACAAATAACTCCCCCCTCTGTCCGGGTAATAAAACCTGAGCCTCACGCGGTCTTGAGCCCCGACGAGGCCTGGAGAACACGCGGTAATCAAGGGGAGAGCGACACACGATTGTGGAAATTCAGTGTTTCCATGACGGTGCCAAGTCCGTCCCCTAGCGGCGTATCGCTTGAGAAAGAGGCGTGTGCTTATGCACAGATCATGCACAGATCATCGTCGTCAGACATGGGCAATCCACTGCTTGATGAGTGACGCACTGAAAGCGTGCCGTGAAATGAAACAGGTTGACATGAATTTCGATTTAAAGCTTTCGTGACTGCAAGGATTCATATTCTTGGTTCTTTCAGTAAAGTCACGTAGAAGGGAAGTAATAAAATAAAACCGCCACTTTTTTCAAATTTTCTTGCTCTGGTTTTCACACCTGATGATGAATACTTGTGTTGCAATCGAAACGTCGTGAGAATTTTATTGTTTTATTTTTATTATTTTCCTTCTAAGTGACTTTACCGAAAGAACCAAGAATATAGGTTGATATGAACTTAATTACAGTACTGTATGTGAGATCCCAAGTGACAGGGTTGTGCAGGACAGAAGCCTTTCAAGGCTTTACTGCACCCATGCAATAGTGTCATTCAGGATTATAGCTCAGAAAATGTATCACCCGTCCACAGAACGGACAGGTCCCGGCTTGTGTATGTCATTCATCATCAGCCATTCCCTATCCGCTGCTGGATTGAAGGCCTCTCCCAATGTCATTTCCATCCCTCGACGGCTTTGCTGTGCAGAAATCCATCTCGCTCCTGGCCACGAGCCTCGTGTATTGTTTCTTTTGCTTGGCGTGTGAAGAATAAAAAAGGCAACAGGGCTACAATTCATAATTACGTTTTTTTTAGGGTGAAATCGCGTAAATGTGTCGCAAACCCAGAACGACGTTTCAGTGGTTTATTACAACCAGATTCATCAGGCGACTTCATACCTGTCAACCCCGTATCCGTGCCTACCTCATTACAGACCAATACAGGACCTTATTGGTCACCTCGTGTCCTTATAAATCTCAACGTTCACCCCACAAAGTCCCATCACAAGGGAGAAATACAAACAAAATAGACCAACAAATGTGTGCCCGTATTTGAAACGGCCGTACGCCGTATGGACCTGGACACTCAATGTCCCAGTACAAGAATACGGGTAAACCGTATGGGTTGACAGGTATGCGACTTCCACAATGAAGCTGGTTGCAAACACCAGCAAAACTTCATAGTAATCAAATTGCAAATGCTGTGTGGGTTTACACTTCCAACATGCCAAACACTCCAAACAAACCGGTGCGCTGTATTGTTCGCGTGACAAACCGTACTGATTGCCTGTGTCGGGTGGAGGTGGGTTTACGACACATTGATATTTATTCACGAGACCTAACCTAAAAACACGTGATTACGAAAAATATCGGTTGCGAAAGCCTGCGTGTTAATCATGGATTCATGGCTTCATTTTGTACGTTTAATGTTGTGAGCAATTCCACGGCACCCGGAGTGGTAAGCTGAGTGGAGTAACAACAACAACAACCGCGATTCGCCACTAAGTGGCGGTGACATCACCACGGTGCTTGTGCCAGGCTAGGTGCACATCGAGGCCACGTGGAGTGTCGAACGCCCGTGACGCGTGCGCCGCCGTTCAACTCCACACGTGGGTGGCGGCGCGCTCGCTCGGGCGCTTTGAACGGGGGCGATGTGGGGGGCGGGGCAATGTGGGGAGGCGGGGCGATGTGGGGGGCGATGGGGGGGGCGATGGGGGGGGCGATGTAGGGGGGGCGGGGCGATGGGGCGGGGCGATGTGGGCGGGGCAATGTGGGGGGCGGGGCGATGTGTGGGGGGGGGCGATGTGGGGGCGGGGCGATGTGAGGGCGGGGCGATGTGGGGGCGGGGCGATGTGTGGGGGGGGGCGATGTGGGGTGCGGGGCGATGTGGGGGGCGGGGCGATGTGGGGGGGGTGATGTGGGGGGGGGCGGGGCGATGTGGGTGCGGGGCGATGTGGGGCGGAGCGATGTGGGGGGGGGGGTGATGTGGGGGGGCGGGGCGATGTGGGGGGCGGGGCGATGTGAGGGGGGGCGATGTGGGGGGGGCGGGGCGATGTGGGGGGCGATGGGGGGGGGCGATGGGGGGGGGCGATGTAGGGGGGGCGGGGCGATGGGGCGGGGCGATGTGGGGGGCGGGGCGATGTGGGGTGCGGGGCGATGTGGGGCGGAGCGATGTGGGGGGGGGGTGATGTGGGGGGGGGCGGGGCGATGTGGAGGGCGATGCGGGGGCGGGGCGATGTGGGGGGCGGGGCGATGTGAGGGGGGGCGATGTGGGGGGGCGGGGCGATGTGGGGGGCGGGGCGATGTGGGGGGGGGCGATGTGGGGGGCGGGGTGGGGGGCGGGGCGATGTGGGGGATGTGGGGGGGCGGGGCGATGTGGGGGATGTGGGGGGAGACCTCGTGACGCGCGGCGCTTATCCACACTACGTTTTGCAAAGGCGCGTGAGTGCATCTCTCTTTTCACGCATCTTCCCCCCGCACATAGCGAAGATCGTGGTGGTTTGGTGGTGTTGTTGGTAGTGTTGGTGGTGGTGTTGTTGGTGGTGTTAGTGGTGGTGTTGTTGGTGGTGGTTTTGGTGGTGGTGTTGGTTTGGTGGTGTTGGTGGTAGTGTTGGTTTGGTGGTGGTGGCGTTGGTTTGGTGTTGGTTTGGTGGTGGTGGTTTGGTGGTGGTGGCGTTGGTTTGGTGGTGGTAGTGTTGGTTTGGTGGTGGTGGCGTTGGTTTGGTGTTGGTTTGGTGGTGGTGGCGTTGGTTTGGTGGTGGTGGTGGTGTTGTTGTTGGTGGTGAAGCCGGAATTTGCCGGGACTCTGCGGGTTTCTCGACATGGACGCGGACGGACTCCCCATAGTCGGCACTGGGACGGACTTGACGAAGGTGAGGAGGAGGAGGAGGAGTTTTGTGTTTCTCTTCTTGCCTCGCCACCATTCAGAACTGCGCCGGCGGCCTCGGGTCTCGTT